ATTTTTATCTCTTCTATTTGTGTCTGAAATGAGGGAGAGGACAAAGAAAGAACAAAGCAATGAAACCCTAATGGTGAAATTGCAGACATAACGGGGAGAGATATTTGTGGATAGGGAGAAGTTCCCAGTGCTCCTTAAATTATACCTCATAGACAAGCATTTATTTTGCCTACTCATACATACATGCTCACATTCATACATACAGATGTGATCAAGGTAGATGATTTCTTAAAGTTCCAGACAGACCCAGGATTTTGTGATTGAAAAATAGGTATCACCTAAGGTTCTGTGTGTTAGAGGAATTAGAAGATTTTGACTTAGAAGAAATTGTTCAAATCATCTGGTCAAATCTCTTATTTTACAGAGAAGGAAACCAAGGCACAGAGAGATGAAGCAATTTTTCAAGATCACACAGATTGAAAAAACAAATAGCAGTGATACTACTGAAAGGTTTCAAATCATTATAAATCAGCTAGAGATAATTATCCATGGCCACCTCAGAAAAGTCAGTTAATTTGTATCCAAGAAGGATGAAGAAACAGAAGTTGAAGTCTCAGTGATGAGAGGAGTGATTGCTGGGAGGAAGAGGAAACAGTCACCAAAATATGGAGTAGCAAAAATTTTGACTAAAGAGTATACAATTATCCCTTCCACATCAAGACTTTGCCCATTGTGGTTTCCATATATTGTGGGTCGGCATAAGAAATTAAATGGGAATTTTTGGAAAGTTTTGCAAAAGCCTCAGATGACACTTGAAGGCCAGTAGATGACACAGAAAAAAGTTTAGAAATGCAGAAATGTATAACATATATGTATAGTGTTGTACAATATCAACATATTTTATCTTTTAATATCATAATAATTTAGACTTCTTCTCTGGTAGGGAGAGCCAAAAAATTTTTCTTGGATTTTCCAGATTATGGGAGGGAGGGGTGCGTGTGGAGGCACTGTACAGTTAACCCCCATGATGTGGAAGAGATAACTGTGATGAGAGAGAGAGACAGAGAGAGAGAGAGAGAGACAGAGAGAGACAGAGAGAGAGTTGTTTGTCTAATTGTTTTAGCAGTCTTTGTTCCGGACATTCTTTATGTATTTGTCTTTGTGTGATGGTTAGGTCATTCTCTTTTGCATAGTTAAGAGGCTTATTCAGGAGGCTCTGCAATGTTTAAGGGCTCCACAAAATCAGCACAGTCTCATCCACCAACAGGAAAATTGGGAGGGAATGCTCTTCACCTTGAACTCTGTGCTGGTCTTCCTCCATGACAGTGGCAAACACTTCTGAGGAGCCTACATCTCCCTGTTTTATGGATCACTTGATATTAGTGATCAGAAGGACAGCAAGGGCATTTCAAAATCAAGGAATTTCGTATGATTTTGATTTATTTATGGGAAACACTTTGTTGGAGAAGAAGACCTGTAAGGGAGTGTTGTTTTACTGAATTAAACATTGTTGCTTTTTAAAAAGTCATCAACAAGCAATAAGCACAGCTATATCTTGTATTCCCAATATCTTTTTATTCAGTTGATTGAATATAAAGATAAGGCCTATTGTAGAACATCATTTGAAAGACTTAATTTCCTGTTCCCTTCATATACCTTCATTAGGGATATACCCTTGATGGGTACAGATTATTTTTGGAAAAATTTTGTATAGCTGGGAAAGTAGGCATACGAATCAGTAGGACCTTTGAGCTCTAAATCCTATGATGCTGTCTTTTGTCTTTGTATCCCCAGCATTTGGCACAGTGCCTGGAACACAATAGGATCTTAATGAATGTTTTTTGACTGACTGATCCACTATTTGATCTAACATAGATACTGGTCAGGATACAAAGAGATTTTGATAGGCTTGTACATGGGGCTGAGTCTGAGAAGATATTTCAGTAAGGATGAAATGTAAAGTTTAAAATTTGGGTTCAAGTAATCAACTTCATTGTGAACTGACCCAATCGTTCTGGAGAGCAATTTGGAACTATGGCCAAAGGGCTATAAAATTGTGCACAGCCTTTGATCTAGCAATACCACTGCTAGGTCTATATCTCAAAGACATAAAAAAAAAAAAGGGAAAAGGACTTATTTGGACAAAAAAATTTATAGCAGCTCTTTTTCGTAATGACTAGGAATTAGAAATCAAAGGGATGCCCATCAATTTGGGAATGGCTAAACAAGCTGTGGTATATGATTGTGACGGAATATTATTGCGCTATAAGAAATGACAAGCTGGGGGCAGCTAGGTGGCGCAGTGAGCACTGGCCCTGGATTCAGGAGTATCTGAATTCACATAGGGCCTCAGACACATAACACTTACTAGCTGTGTGACCCTGGGCAAGTCACTTAACCCCATTGCCTAGCCAAAACAAAACAAAACAAACAAAACAAAACAAAAAAACAAAAACAAAGAAAGAAAAGACAAGCTGAATGATTTCAGAAAAAACCTGGAAAGACTTACACGAACTGATGCAAAGTGAAGTAGAACCAGGAGAATGTTGTACACAGTAACAGCAATACTGTTTGATGAAGAATCATGAATGACTTAGCTATTCTCAGAAATACAATGATCCAAGACAATTCCAAAGGACTAATGATGAAACATACTATCCATCTCCAGAGAAAGAACTGATATTGATTGAATACAGACTGAAGCATGCTATTTTTCACTTCGTTTTTTATCTGAGTCGTCTTGTACGAAATGATCAATGTGGAAATCTTTTACATAATTGCACATGTATAAATTATATCGAATTGCTTAACATCTCAGGGAAGGAGGGAAGGAAAAAGAGAATTTGGAACTCAAAATGTTTTTTAAATGTTTAAAAAATTGTTTTAACATGTAATTGGGGAAATAATAAAGTATTACATAAAAAAATGATCAATTTCACAAGCATAGGATGAGAGAGGCATGGTAAGACAGTAGTTTGTAGGGAAGAGATCTGGGAATTTTAATGGACTGTAGGCTCAATATGAGTTAGCAGTGTGAAGGGACAGCCACGTTAGCTAATGTGACCTTAGACTACATCAAGAGAGACAGAGGTTCCAGAAAGGAGATGAAAATCCCTCTGTATTCTGTCCTGGCCAGACCACATTGGAAGTATTGGGTTTAGTCTGGGCCAGCATAAGTTTAGGGATAAGATGGAAATTGTCCAGAAGAAGGCAACTAGGATGGTCAAGGACCTTGAGTCTATATCATATAAGGAGAAGTTGGTGGATCTGCGGATGCTCAGCCTTGAGAAGACAGCTCTAAGAGGACATAAGTGGTGACTTCCAATGGGTGGAGGAGGTCAGTTCTCATTAGCCCTGGAAGATAAAACCAGGAATAATGGGGGGAAGTTACAAAGAGGGAAAACTTAAATGTCATTTCAGGAAAACAGAAACTTGCAAAACTTCTTGAAAACTAGAGTTATCCAATGGAGGAATTGGCTGCCTAGAGAAGTAATGGGTTTGTTGCCTCAACCTCCTAGAATTCCTAGCCTCCATCAAAGCGCAGCTAATGAGCTACATCCTGTATGAGGCTTTTCTTATCTGTTCTCCCCTCCTCACCCCTATGAGGTACGGGTGCCTCCCTTCCCCAAATTACCTTGTATTAAGAGCTAACATTTATATAGTCCTTACTCTGTGCCAGGCTCTGTGCTAAGCACTTAATAATTTTTATCTCCTTTGATCCTCACAACAACCCTTGGAGACAGGTGCTATTATTATTCCCATTTTACAGATGAAGAAACTGAGGCAGAGATTAAATGACTTGCCCAGTGTCAGATAGCTAGTAAGTGTCTGAAGCTTGATTTGAGCTCAGGTCTTCCTGACTCCCAGCCCAGTGTTCTACCCACTGAGCCACCAACTGTCCCAAAGTATTTTGACTTTGACTGTATTTTGCACCCCTTTTTATGTGTCCATGTTGTTTCCCCATAGAATGTAAACTCGCTGAGAACAAAACCTGTTTCATTTTGTGTGTTTGTATCGCAGAGCCTGGCACATAGTAGGTGCTTAGTAAATGCTTATTGGTTGATTTATTGAGTGATTCCTCCATCCCTTGAGATTTTTTAGCAAAGGCTGGAAGACCACTTGTCCTCTGAAGCATGAACACATTACCAAGAATGCCTGATAGGACCCAGTTAAGCTGATATCTATCCGAAGATGCACATTCACAAAGGACATAGGAAATAGTTAGGTTGGAGTAGCCGAAACTACAAGTTATGAAGACTTGAGTCTGAATCCTGCCTTAGGAACTTAAGAGCTGAGTGATCCTAGCAGGTCAAACAACCCTACCTAGCCTCAGTTTCCTCATCTGTAACATGAGGATACTAATGGCACCTACCTCACAGGGTTGTTGTGAGGATCAAAATTAAATGAGATAATATATGAACAGGGCTTTGTAAATTGTAAAGCATTTTAAAAATGTTAGCTATTACTATGACATAATTATTCCCAGAGTGGGGGAGTTATCCAATTAACAGATATTTATTGATTATCCACTATGTGACTGAGATTTCACTAGGTACTCCTTTGGGACACGAAAAGTACAATGTGAGCTAGGACCCTGACTGTAGGAAGCTTATCGTCTGGCTGGAGAGACAGGCTGGATAGCCTGTCACACAATTTCTAGGGGCAGACGTCAGCCTCGGTGTGGCATCGGCCCTCAATCCCCCTGGCAGCATTTCAGTGCTCAGAATGCGGGACATATTCCCTCTCTGTTATCTGACTCCACTATCGGCCTCCAGGAAAACACAGGACTTCTGGGAAAAAGGATGCTTGACAAAGGCAAATGGGGGAGTCCATAGCCTGGCTGGAAATCCTAGCAGCTGCTCCTGAGGCATTGCTTGACAGCACTGGTGTTCATGAGCCTGGCCCAGAGCCTTCTGGGACCCAGAACAACCAGTCTGTTGTGGATGGTCTTGAACCATCAATAATGTGATAGAACTTGGGGGTTGGGGGTTGGAGGCAGAGAGAAAGAAGGTGTTTGAGTGAAGCAAAGACTTAATGGGGAATTCTCGTTTCTCTTGCAGCCTACCAGGGGAAAGACGAAATCTGAGCATCTGTGTTCAAATACTGGCCTTTCTGCTCCCTATCTGTGTGGCCTTGGGTATATCGCTTGGCTTCCTTGGCCCTCAGTTTCCTCATCTGTAAATAAAGGAGCTGGATTCAATAGCCTCTAAGGTCCTTTAAAACTATTTATTTATTTATTTATTAGTTTTCAACATTCACTACTGTAAGCTTTTGAGTTCTAAATTTTTCCCCTCCCCAAGATGGCAAGCAATCTGATATATGCTATGCATGTACCATCATACTAAACACATTTCCACGTTAGTCATGTTGGGAAAAAAGAATCAGAATAAAAGGGAAAAGCTACAAGAAAGAAAAAAAAAGGAGACACAATAGTATGCTTCAATCTGCATTCAGACTCCATAGTTCTTTCTCTGGATATGGACAGCATTTTCCATCATTAGTTTTCTGGAGTTGTCTTAGGTCCTTGTATTGCTGAGTAGAGCTAAGTCTATCAAAATTAGTCATCATACAATGTTGCTGTTACTGTGCACAATGTTCTCCTGGTTCTGCTCACTTCACTCAGCATCTCAGTTCTTTATTTATAATCCTGGCATTTTTCTTTTCTTTTTTCTCTTCCTTTTTTTTTTTTTTTTTTTTGCAAGAGGCAATCAGGGTTAAGTGACTTGTCCAGGGTCACACAGCTAGTAAGTGTCAAGTGTCTAAGGTCGGATTGGACCTCACGTACTCCTGACTCCAGGGCTGGTGCTCTATCCACTGGACCAGACAGCTGCCCCAGTCCTGGCATTTTTCACCAGCTGTCCCTCATGCCTGGGACTCTCTCCCTCCTCATCTCTGCTTCCTTGGTGTCTTTTAAATCCCACCTTTTACAGGAAGCCTTCCCTAAACCCTCTGAATTCTGGTGCCTTCACTCTATTGACTATTGCCTCTGTATCCTGCATATAACTTGTTCTCACATAGTTGTTTGCATGCTGTCTCTCACATTAAATTGTGAGCTCCGTCAGGGCAGGGACCGTCTTTTGCCTCTTTTTGAATCCCCAGCATTTAACACAGTGTCTGGCACCTAGTAGGCACTTAATAAATTGTTATTGACTAACTAGATTATCCTTTACAGTGATTAAATCTATGATTGCCTGAGCTGAGTTTTAGGACAAAGGAGAGGTTAACTAGTATTCCGAAGAAGTGGGATAGTCACAAAATCACAGGGCATCCAGTCTGACTCTCTCATTTCACAGATGAGGAAACTGAGATCTAGGTGGTTAAAGTATATGAAAGAGTCCTGGATTTGGAGTTAAAAGACCATAATTTATATCCAGTTTTTGTCTCTTGGTATCTGCATGAAGTTGGACAAATAATTTAACCTCTCTGTGACTCAGTTTCCTGATCTACAAAATAAAGGGGCTTAGACATAATGGCCTCTAGGTTTCTTTCCAGCTCTAAATCTATAATCCTATGTCTCCTCTCAGACTCAGTTTTCTCATGGTTAAATTAACTATTTAGTCCATTTTGGGAGTAAATGATCCCCATGAGCCCTTTCAGTCAGGGGTGTGTTGGTAAATGTTTAACAACCTGCCCTCTAGGGGGGAAAAGTACACATAGTATACTTTTAAAATTAATATGTTATTAACATTTTCTCCTTCACTTTCCTAAGTTTAGACAATCAATAAAACAATAAATCAAGCCCTGATTTGTAGCATATTTCCAAGATGTAAAGACTGACATGAAAATTTAACAATAGGCTTTTATCCCAACACATCACAACCATCAGCTCTAAATCTATGATCCTTTAATTCTCTTTGCTTGCTCTTGTGCTATCATTTCACTCCGAGTTACAATTGTTCAGGGGAAGAAATGAGGAAGGAGGATCCAGGGGACCACAGTTGATTTGGTGGGTAGCATATGATAAATTGTTTCTCCTAGCCATAAAAAAGAAATCATGTTGGCAACTTTTCTGAACTAACTTTAGGAGATTATAGGAATTTGAATCAGCAACTCTCTCAGATGTACAAATTTGAGGGCCTCTCCCTGGTACCAGAATCTCTTTCTCTGAGTCTCCCATCATGCATTTATGTGTGTTTGAGGTAGGGATGGAGGTTGGGGACTGGGGAGAGAACATTGTATTAGGGGCTTCTAGAGACCCTTAACATACAGGAGCATAGATCACAGGACTGTAGAGTTGGAAGGGACCTTAGACATGACTGAGTCCAATCCCTTTATTTTACAGAGGAAGAAACTGAGGCAGAGAGAAAATAACTTGCCTGAGGTCAGCCAGGTAGCAAGTAGCAGAAACAGGAATCAAAACCATGACCTCTGACACCTAATACATAATTTCTACTGTACCACATCTGCTTTAAACATTAACTTCCTCATGGAATAATAGTAAGCAGAGAAAAGCTAAGCGAGTCTTTTTTTAAATACATATTTTGATTTACCTTATTAAATATTTCCCAGTTATATTTTGAAAAAATTTTAGTATTTGTTTTTTAAAATTTTGGGTTCCAAATTCTCTCCCTCATTCCTGACCCTCCCCTACCCCTCGAGAAGGCAAGCAATATGATATCAATTATACAGGTGAAGTCATGCAAAACAGATTTCATATTAGCCATGTTGCAAAAGAAAACACACAGACAAAACAAGAAAAATAAAGAATGTGAAAGAAGTATTAAGTACGTCTTTATTTTCTGGGACAACCAAGCAATCTCAGGCCTGAAAGGGAAGATTCAATGTGCAAATAAAATACCAAGAGACTCTGTCTAACCTTTGGGAACTTGGCAAGAAATCAATAGATTTCTAATGCCATTTCATTCAACTCAATGATCATGTACAGTAGAAAGAACATGACTGTGGAGTCAGAAGAACTGAGCTTAAATTGCACCTCTTATGGCTACCACCTTAGGCAAATTCCTTAACCATCCATCACATGCCTCAGTTTCCTTACCTGTAAAATGGTTATTACCAGAGAGACCTTAGACAAATTAACAATCTATCACATGCCTCAGTTTCCTTACCTGTAAAATGGTTATTACCAGAGAGACCTCAGACAAATTAACAATCTATCACATGCCTCAGTTTCTTTATCTGTAAAATGGTTATTACCAGACAGACCTTAGACAAATTAACAATCCATTACATGCCTCAGTTTCCTTATCTGTAAAAATGGAGGAGCTCAACCAGCTAAGGCCTGAGATTGCTTGCAATTCCAGTCCTGGTTTGATCCTCCATGATGCTCTGGGGATAGAGAACTGGAGCTGTGATTTCACTAGTAATGGAAACTCCCAGGTGAGAACCCTCCCTCTACCAATGTAAGTCAGTACCATCTCTGAAACTTAGATTATTAGAGAGTGGATTAGAACACTGAGAAGCTGAGACTTCTCCAAGGCCATACAGACAGTGTGAGTCAGAGGAGAGACTTGAACCAAGGTCAAGTTCTCTATCAACTACACCACAATACCTTTCTCTTGGCACTGGACACTGGGCATACAAAGACAAAAAGAAAGTGACAGCTCCTGTCCTCGAGAAACTTCTGTTCTACTAAATGAATTCTACTGTAATTCTGCATTTGGAAGAAAAGAGGAGGGCAAAGGCTCCTCTTGGGTATTGTGCCCTGGAGTCACCCACAGAACCCTGGAACTTCACTCAGATCCCCCTCCCCCCACAGGGAGAAAACCTGTTCTACTTACCCAAGCTCAGGACTATTGATTCTGGCAGTTGCTGATGCCTGGGGCATGCCAACAAAGTGACTGAAATGAAAAACTGATTTATTTGAGGTTTTGAGCAGGGGAAGAGAGCCTTGGGTGACTCCAACTTCACCCCATTCTCCCCCTTCACCCCCCCCCAACTCTCAGCTTTAATTCTCATTAAATCTATCTTAGCCTTTGAAGGATGGAGAAAGATTAGGAGACTTGACCTTGGTATTTGAGCCCTCACATCCTTTGCATCTGGCCTAAGTGAGTGAACAGAAGTAAGGGACTTAGAGCCTTTCAGCCTTATTGGAGAACATAGTTCAGAAATTCAGAAAGGCCCTTGTCCCTTTCCTTGATGTGAAGATCCTGTTGATCTAGATCAGGGGTGGGGAACATGTGACTTCGAGGTCCAGGTTCCCCTCCTCTGATTCTAGACCCCTTCACTCAACTCATATTTCTAAGTTACAGTTGGAGAAGTAACAAAGGTGAAATATAAAGGCGGGGGGACTGAACTGGGAATAATCATGGTAGTTGCTGACTCAGACCTTTACAGTTTACAAAGCCAGGATATATATTTTCTCATTTGAACTTCCCAATAACTTGGTAAAATAGAAGCTATTACTATCCCCCTTTTGTGGTTCAGTCATTTCAGTTGTATCTGACTCTCTGTGACCCCATTTGGGGTTTTCTTGGCAAAGATACTGGAGTGGTTTGTCATTTTCTTCTCCAGTTCATTTTACAGATGAGGAAATTGAGGCAAACAAGGTTAAATTACTCGCCCAGGGTCACACAGCTTCTAAGTGGCTGAGGCCAGATTTGAACTCATGAAGATGTCTTCCTGACTCCAGGTCCGGTGCTCTATGCACTAGCCGCCCATTTTTGATCAGGAAACTGACTATATAAGATAGAGTACTAGTAAGAGTATTTGAATAAGGGAGAGAAAGAAAACCTGAACTGGGAATCAAGACACCTGGGTTTTGGTTTCTATTCTGGTACTAAAGTGTAGAATTTGATAGGATTCGGGCTGGCAGGAATCTTAGAGATCACTTAGCTCAATCATCACTTGCTACAGATGGTCAAGTTGAGGCAAGGGGTTGGGAAGGTCACTCAGGGAGCAAATAACAGAGACAGGGTTTGAACTTAGGTCCTCTGCCTCCCATCAAAAACTTAATTCTGCTATCCTGCCACGCTCAACTTCAAAATGTAAATTATTTTTTAGGATAAATTTATATAAAGGATCATAGATTTAGGATGAGGAATGACCTCAGAAGTCACCTAGTTTCTTGTTTTACAGATGAGGAAACTGAGGCCCGGGGAGATAATAGGATCATAAGTGAGACTTGGACACGACATTAGGGGCCAGTGAGCCTGTTCTAACCTTATTGTACCAAGAAGAAAACTGAGAACCAGAGATGTTTAGTGACTT